CATGTATGAGCAGATGATCCGATGGATTTTCTTTCTGACCCGGTACTGTGGCAGTGCCACCTTTCCTAACAGCTGCTCCTCTGCATTCTTGGGGACAGCCACTTGTTTATGAGCTGCTAGTATTTTCTTTAGGGTTTAGCATAGATTTCTTTATGAGTTGGGATAATGCTAGCTTCTATAAATATGACAAAATGTTATTGGCTTGATAACTGAAGTGGATTTCTTGCTTGTGAACAGCCCAGGGAGATGACCTTCCTGTAAGGGGAGAGACACTTTCCACTCTGTTGCCCCTCCATCCCCCTCGGGCAGTGGTCCACACATTCTGTCTTAAAAGACCAGGTAGCACACAGGTGAGGCTGTGAGTAGGAGGCAACTCCATTTTTAAGGGTCTTTCTCACAACTACCCCGCTCACGTGCCGCAGCATGACAGCAGCCACACAGAGACACATGGGAATAGTTGTGTTTCAGCAAGTTTTATTGTTGCTGTTTCTAAAGTAGGTAGCCTACGGACAACAGCACTGGTCACGGTGTGTGATCCCTGCCCTAGACTAACCTCATCACCCCCTGAATCCAGCAGGTGAAGAAGAAACCATGGGCAAGCTCATCCATGTATTAAAGTACTTGAACCTGGAGCTAGCCCACAGTACTGGCATTCCTGTTGTTGTTGTTGTTGTTATTCTTGTTAGATGCCATCAGCTCCAACTCAGAGAAACCAGATGAACAACAGAGCAAAGCACAGCCAAGTCCTGCCCGTCTTTGCCCTCCCTGGTATGCCTGCGCCATTTCCACAGCCACTGTGTCAGTCCGTCGTTGTGTTGAGTGTCTTCCTCTTTTTGGCTGACCCTTGACTTTGGTTTTTCACCTATACATGCTGAAAAAATAGTACATTTACGGAGAAAATATATTCTCTATCTGGGCAGCCATTTCCCAATAATATTTCTAGAAGGTGAGAGGGGAAACAGACTATGGATGAATACCAAGGACCTCCCTCTCATGATATACGTAAATGACATTGGTCAGTATTGTTATTTTTCCTATTTTTATCTCTTTTCCTAGATAGAAAGAGCAAAAGCAACCAACACATCAAGGCTATGTATAACAAGCAAAACCTCATGCCATCAACTTGATCCCAACTCGTAGTGACTCTATAAGGTTTCCCAGACTGTAAGTCTTTAGGGTAGTAGACAGCCTTATAAGTCGCTCATGAAGCAGCTGGTGAGTTTGAACCACCAACCTTGTGGTTATCAGCCTAACATGCAACCCCCACCATCAGGATTCCTTAAGGTTATAGATGGATCATAAAGTATGTACCGGTTTTCTTTCCAGGCTTTTCTATTCTCTGAAAATAAATATGATAAAATGATCAGCTCCTTCAAAGGTTGTTGAACTGGAGAATCTGGATCGGGCACAGATGGTATTGGCAGAGGGAGAGAATGAAAGCAGAAAGAATGGTTTGACCAGTTGGCCACTATCAGGAGCCCTGTTGGCACGGTGGATTAGGCATTGGGCTTCTCACCCTAAGGTTGTGAGGTCAAACTCCCTACTGGCTTGGAGGGAGAAAGATGGGGCTGTCTGCTCCCATAAGGGTTT